TTTCCCTTTCTCTGTGTCTTTCCCAGGTGAGTGATGTGTCCTGCAACAAAAATAAATAAGTAAATAGAGTAAGTCAAAGATAGTATAACTTATTCCGTATCAGTGTAACTCTATGCCTTGCCATCTGCCTTGCTAATTCTTCAACTCAGTCCTGGATGAAAACCTGAGCAAAGATATTTCAGAATCAAAATGTCTGGCACTTCTACAGTGATGGGAAGGAACATGAGTGATGATGAGTAGTGCTAACAATCTTACAAGGCTTCATTTCCAGAACAAGGGGATAGGTGTCTCCTTCCTGAAGAATGAAGATGTGTGTGAAACAGAAGAAACATCAGAAACCCCATCCTAAAAGAATGCCAAGTTCAAAGTCAGGAACTTCCAAAGAGGCACATTCAGTAATGGAGTCAGGCAAAGGACAGTAAACCTAGCATGGAGTCAGGACAGTAAAGGACAGACACAAGACACCTGTCCTGCCAGAGACCTTGTACAGCCATACCTTAGGAATACAATGGCAAAAACTTGCAACCAAAGGTAAAACTTTTATGAGCAAAAGAGAGACCTAGCTCAGAAGATAAGAAAAGTCTTCTCCAATTTTGCTCAAGGTTTGCAAGCGTTTTCTGTATCAATCCTTGATGTTAAAGGTTTTCGAACTAAAGAGCTAAGACCAGGAGACAGCATGTGGTTAAACTGCTAGATCCCACATGGCTGACTCTGACTCACTTTTCCTCTCTGTGCCTCTGTCCAACTCTCTCCAGGGAGCACACACGCCCTATAGCAAAAATTAAAAACGAAAAACCTATAGTTCTTTTAAGTCTTCTAAGTGCAATGTGATAATACTATTTAATGCCTTTAATTCATTATTTGGAGCATTCATCTATTTATTCAGCAAACATTTACCTATCTTGTCCCTGGGACTGCATTATGCATCAGAGTCATCATCAGGAAAAGAGAGTGGAGTCACAGAAGTTAACAGTATTGGATTGAAATTGTTTTTGTTGTCGCCAGAATGGGCTCTAATTGTGACTTTCATATCCCTGATAATAGCCTTTCCTAGCAAATAACATATTAAAAAGTCTATTGAGGGACCAGTAGGTGGCATGGTGGTTAAGATACTGGATTCTCACATGGCTGAGCACAGTTCAAGTCCTGTACCTGGCAGCTTGCTTTCTCACTTTCCCTCTTGCTCGCTCTTTCTTTCTCTCTCTCTCTTTCTCTCTCTCTCTCTGTCTCTCTCTCTCTCCTCTCTCTCTCTTTCTCTCTCTCTCTCTCTCTGCCTCTCTCTGGCGAGGGCATGTACTTTATAGTAAATTTTAAAAAATAATAACAATAAATAAAATTAAATAAATAATTCTTTTGAAAAGTCTACTGAATTGGCAGTCCTACTTAATTTTAAGATCTTGTTCATTTACATTTCCTGTACTGTACTTATCCCAAATGTGAAAGCCTCGAAACTCCTATCTTCAATTACAGTATCTCTTGACAGCAGGGTTCCAGATCCTCATCAGAAGACTCTAGAATGCTACAAATGATGATGATGGTTTGGAGTCTAAAACAAACACATTAGCAAGATCCCAGAAGTACTCAATGAAAGCCAGTATGGACTTTCCATCCTGTCAAGCAAATTCATCATAGACCTTAACCCAGTCAGTTATCAGAGTAAGCATAATTGTTTGATGAGTTTACTGAAGGGAAATAAGTAAACTGGAGGTTATTCAAAGGCAAGTAGCATATTTTCAACTTTTTTGTAATACTCCACACTAATCTAGAATGATGCTTAGTTGACAGTTTCTTCAATTAACAATAAGCTTTTGTTGATTTATCCCTTCTTTGTGTTTTTCAAAGAACAGAGCCATGTAGTTGGAGTTTTATTAGAAAGAAAGGAGGCAAAGTGGATGCTGAGAGACAGTTGGAAGGGAGTACAGTAAGGTAGGTGGGAGAGAATGCGATGAACTAGGGTATAGAAAAATGACTGGATTTTTATGTATTTTGAAGGTGTGTCTTACAAGATTTTCTGATGGATTAGAAGTAAGGTGTGAGAGAGGATTCAAGTGTGACTCCAAGGTTTTTGGTTTGAAGAACTGAAAGAGTGAAATTGTCATCTACTGAAATGAGAAAAATTGCTGAGGGAGTTGGGTAAATTGTCTATTGGATATCCTAGGGCCAGTAGTGGGTGTGGTGGTTGAGGCAGCTGTATCTCACATAGTTGACTATGAAAAATACACAGGGCTCCCTGTTGTGCATGCCCAAAATCCTGAAAGGAGGAAGAAATGGAGGGAAAGGGATTGCAGGATGACTGTAACCCATGGAAGCATTCTTTATCCTCTCCCCTTTCTCTGTCTCTTTATCTTTGGGGAGTGCAACCACCTTCTAGCAAAAAAAAAAAAAAAAAAAATAGTACGGAATCTAAGTATCATTGATCTTTTTTTCTTTTTAATTAGCCAGAGGGTACACATGCTTTCCAGAGAGAATGAGATCGAGAAAATAAGTGAGAAAGCACTTCCTCATGGGGAATGGAATGGTCATGCTGCAATTTCTTCTCCTCCATCTCTCTCTTCTTTCAGAATTTTGGGAATGCACGCACATGCATCCAGCAAGTTTTTCAAGCCACCAGGTCCAGGATTGAAAGCACACAGTTGACCACGTGGAATCCAACTACCTTAACAACCATGCCACAGGCTAACCCTAAGTATCATTGACTTTAAGAGAAAAGAAACTGAAATACACTTAAAGAATTGTTAAAAGTTCAACTAGTTTTTTGTTGTTTTTTTTGGGGGGGGGTTGTTTTGTTTTGTTTGTTTGTTTGTTTTAGAGCGAGATTTTTGCTAGAGGGCGTATGCACTCACTGGAGAGACAGAGAGAAAGAAAGTGAGAAATCACTCCCGGGGGGGGGATGGCCACACCATAATCTCTTCTCCTCCATTCTCCTCTTGGGATTTTGGGCACACACCCACATGTGCCCAATGTAAATTTTAAGCCACCAAGTCCAAGACTCAAACCATGGTCAACTATGTGGGAGCTCAGAGATGTAATCATTTCACTATCTCTTGGTCCCCAGTGAAATGTTTCTATCACCATAAAATATTTTATTTAATCAAATAGTCCTCTAAGGTGTTGGGGAAAAAATAACAAAATATGAAGTTTAAATCACCAAATAGTGATTAAACTACATGTTCAATATGACGGTACCAACTGACTCCTTCTTAAGTAAGAGAAGAAAATGAGCAAACTTTCGCTTTCTCCCATATTTTCATTTTGGTAAGTTATTATTGTTGTACCATCAGTACTTTCAACATTTACATTTGCCTATAACCATAATTTCTATGGTCATTAAATCTTAGATCGATATTTATTATAAATGAGCCTGATAATCACTGCTTGTTCTTTTATCAAGTACTTTTCATTTCTGAGTTCCATATTTTTAATCATTCTTTGGTTATTAAAATTTCATAAAATCATCTTTTTAAAAAAAACTTTATATGTGCTACAGTCACAGAGTTCTTCAATGTTAAAGATAACTTTCAGCAGATGGTACAATGGTTACATCGATGGACTTCAACATAATTGACCACAGTTTGAGTCCTGGACCTGGTGACTTAAAACTCACACCAGTAATGTATATGTGTGCCCAAGATCCCAAGAGGAGAATGGAGGGAAAAGGATGGTGGCGTGGCCATCACCTCTGGGGTGTGTGGGAGGGTGATTTCTCACTTTCTGTTTTCTGTCTCTCTGTGTTCTCCAGTGAGCACCCGCTCCCTATAGGAAAAATCTTTCTTTAAAATAAATTTTAAAACAAGAATAACTTTCAGTTATCTTTATAGTTAAGTGACAATTTCACTACATATTACATTGAATCCTCTTATATAGGATATATTCTACATATATATGTTTCTATAATTATATTTATATTTTCTGTGTTGCTTTTTAGTTGTCTACCTTAGTAGAAACTAGTTATGTTTCTGTGTATCGGTTTTGTCTCCTCTATATTCTTTCTCTAATTATATTAATGTATTTTTGCATTGATTTTCTTATGCCTTTCTTCCCCACCATAATTCAGTTTTAAGCCATGTCTAATCTGTTCATTATGCTATCATATAAATTAGTTCTAAATGTCGTTCCTTTGTTTTTTTTAGCTCTGTGACTTATTTTTCTATTTCATTCTGTGATTTGAGAGCTTGTTGTATTATACATACACTATGTTCTTACTAAATTCTTCTGTATAAGAAATACTCATAAGAAATTTTTTGTTTCATTGACTGTATTTTTTCTAGATTATTTTCTTCCTCAGTCTTTGCTATCTATTCTCTCTTCTTAAAGTTTGTTTTTCTTCCATGAGATAGACAGCAACAGGGAGACAGACACCCCCAACGGGGTCTTCATGCCACAGTCCACCCCCAGTCTCAACCAGCCCAGATCACAAGCATGCACTCCCAGCGTGCTCAGGTAGGCCCCATAATCGTTTCTATGTGGACCCAGTTACATTACCACTGCACCACTACCTGACCCTGATAGCCTCTATTTCTTACTTGTTACTATTTATTGATGTATTTGTTTCATTGTGCTTACATAGCCATCGCATTGTCTCTTTTCATATTTAACATGAGAAGTTCTGCTCATATCTTCTACAGGGTATGCATCCTATCAGAGAGAGAGACAGACAAGACAGAGAGTGAAAGAGGGAAAGTGAGAAAGTAAGCTGCCAGGTCCAAGACTCGAACTGAAGTCAGCCATGTGGGATTCCAGCTCCCCAAGCACCACATCACCTGCTGGCACCTTCATTAGTTTTTAAGATGCCTTCATTTAGCATTTTAGCATCTCTAAAAAGTACTGTTTATCTTCCAGTTTAATTGGGGGCATATTTTTTTCATTACATTACTTTTTCCTCTTAGGCTACAGCATGAAAACATCTATATCTCTGCAGTCCTCAAACTTCCAACTTCAAAGCCATCTTATCCTACTTCATAAAAAAAATAAAATAAAATCCATCAGATGTTCTCAACTTCCTATCAAAGCTTCAAATGTCTTCCCTTTAGCTACAATAGAAAAGGCAGCCAGCCAGGACCAGCAGTTAGCATAACGGCTATGTCGCTGAACTCCCATGTAGTCAACCACGGTTCAAGTCCTGGACCCGGTGACTTAAACTCACGCTGGGCGCATGTGCGTGTGTGCCCAAGATCCCTAGAGAAAGGAGGAGAAGGCATTGTGATGTGGCCATCCCCACCAGGGGCTGATTTCTCGCTTTCTGTCTCTCTCTGTCTTTCTGGCAAGCACACATGCCCTACAGCAAAAACCTCTCAATAAAAAAAGGCAACCAGCCATCCTCCTATCTAAAGCTATAGACTTGGAAGTAGTGGACTACTTGAATGTAGTGGACTACATTCTGAATCTCACTTTCTCCAGCCTTTTTAGGAACTTTACCCTTCTAGCTATCTCTTCTCACTCCCATATCTTTCTACTTACTCCTTGCCATCATGTTTTTTGTGTTTTTAAAAAATCATTTAATGTATTTTTAAAATTTTCCTTAGGGCACATGCACTTGTGAGAGAGAGAGAGAAAGAAAAAAAGCAAGCCACTAGGTCCACTAGTTTTTTTTTTTTTTTTTGAGAGGTTTTTCGCTATAGGGCATGTGCGCTCGCCAGACAGACAGAGACATAGAGACAGAAAGTGAGAAATCACCTCCCAGGGGGGATGGCCATGCCGCAATCCCTTCTCCTCCATTCTCCTCTCGGGATCTTGGGCACGCATGCATACGCGCCCGGCGTGAGTTTTAAGCCACCGGGTCTGGGACACGAACTGTGGTCGACTACGTGGGAGTCCAGCGACATAGCCATTACGCTAACGGCTGGTTCCCTAGGTCCACTAGGTTTTAAATCAGCTCAGGGTAGACTATCTTTTAAAAATAGTCCTCACTCTCACACTTCTTTCTTACTCTCTTTCAAAGTAAGTCTTCTTAAAGATCTTCATTTTGTTCAACTCTCACTCTCTGGCCTACTTCCATTTGTTTCCTACCCTACCATTCCAGCAGGTTTTTGCTCTCAGCAGGTCACCAATGACTTCCTTATTGCTAAACACAAGGAAGTTCAGCGGAGCCTGCACACTCTCAGCATTTGTTGTGGCTGATCACTCCTTCCTCTGAATATTCTTCCCTTGGCTTTCATTACAACACGCCCTTTGAGTTTTCCTTCTGCCTCCCTCATTACTTTCTCTTAGTACCTTTTGTGCAGTTTTCTTCCTCTGCCTGTCCCTTAAATTTTCTGTTCTATAAGGATTATGCTAGAATGTATTCTTATTTACAAACTTCAGTGTTTGAATCTACCCACTCTTAATGACTTCAGTGACATTTTACCCATTGTTGGCTTCTAAACGTGTATGTCTTTCCTGTATATTTAATTATATTGAACATCTCAGTTTGGATTTTCCATAACCAATTAAAATTCATCAGGTCCAAAATGAACTCATAATCTTCCATTCCAAATATGCTCCTCTTCCTCAGTTCTCTACTTAACTAAATGGGATCACTCAGTTGTTCAAGTCAGATGCCCAGTGCTCATCTTTAATTCTATGTTTTCCTTCTCACATAGCTAACCACAAGGCCTATCATTTTTTTCTCCCAGTAAAGCCCCCTAAGCTACTCTGTATCACACTACCATTGCCTATTTCAAGTTATTATCCTCTATCTGCAAGGTTTTTTTTCCAAGAGAGAGAATTTTGCTATGGGGTACATGCACTGGCCAGAGAGATGGAGAGAGCAGAGAGAGAGACAGAGCGAGAAATCCCCAGGGATATAGCCATTCTGCAATCCCTTCTCCTTTATTCTCCTCTTGAGATTTTGGGCATGGACACACACACACCTGATGTGAGTTTCAAGCCACTGGGTCTGGGACTCAAACCGTGGTTGACTACATGGGAGTCCAGCAATGTAACCATTACGCCATGTGCTGGTCCCTCTATTTCCAGCCTCACTGCAATAGACTCCAACTTTTTTTGTGAAGTGATTTTACTGCAATTCAAATTCGATCAAACCACATCTCATACCTCTTAAAATCTTTCAATACCTGACCAGTGCCTGTGAGCTCATCTCCAAACTTCTAAACCTGGCATTAATGATCCTTCATGATTACAGGCCCTTTTCCAAATTCACCTTGTGCCCCACGTTATTCCATCTAGCTTGACCCCTTTTGTCCCTACCCTAATTCTTAATTCATTCTTTTACTCTCAATTTAGATGACCCTTCTTCCAAGAGACCTTCCTGAATTTCAAAGTAAGTGTCCATCTACTAAATACTCACAGGACCCTGGCTTTCCTTAACACAGTTCACGATAACAGAATTGTCTTTTTAATTCTCTGTAAGTTAAGCTATAGCACCATGAGAACAGGTACCGTGTATATCTTAGCCACAACTACATTCCCAATCTTTAAAAAAAAAAATTTTTTTTTGAATGAGCAAATCATGACCACTGGAGGCACCACTTGACAAAGAAAGAGAAGCAAACAAACATAAACCAAAACATCTCTTCCTTAGAGAATGAAAAGGAGGATAAAAGAATATGTCATGCTTTTTGTTCTTGATAAAAAATGTTAGGTTTAATCATATGGC